CAGCGTGTGGTGATAGAAAAACCGAAAGTGTGGTTAAGGAATTAATATACATATGTTTTGAATGTATGGCTGTATTAAAAGTTAGATATTATTAGGTGCAAAATGTGTATACATATATATTATATATAATGTAATTATTATGTAAAATGTGCATAGCAACTATAATCAACTATATATGTATATGTTTATGTATACAGTATTTATTAACTACATGTTGCTTTAGAAGCATCAACAACCAGAACAGTTCGTCGATACGTCAAACAGTTTGTTGACCTTTTTGGGGCGATGCTGCCACCTCGCTGCCATGGTCACCATCGAATCAAGATCGTCATCAAACGCATCAGAATCATCAAGCGATCCTTATTGATTATTGATTTTTATTGATACTCAAAATACACTATCAATAATGAATAACCATCGATAATCATGAAAATTGAAATAATCATCAAGATGATAAAAAGCATCAAGGATGATCAAAAGCATCAAAAACATCAAAACCATCACCAGAATCAACATCTAATGATCTAATGAAATCATGATAACCAAGAAGAGATGTGGATAGATTCTACTATATTATACTGCTTCATCAACCTGAAATCGTGGGACATTTGGAGGTGATTCCCACCCCCAATCCGAACACCATCATAAACACAGCGACTGTATCCAGTCAGGTCGGTTTTCAGTCATTCAACATAAGAAGTATCGCAATCATGAATCATAATCATCATCATCATCATCATCATCATCCTCATCCTCATCCTCAGAAACTGAGCAATTTAATCCATGATTCCGATTAATCCTTTTGAAGATTCCTCATATTCAGACCGTCAATTTGAAATATTAGTTGATATGTTTCCTGATAACAATGTTACATATGTATTCCAACCATATAGTTAGTCGTTATCATCATAATAATCATTCTAACTGATATCATATAGTTACATCTTTCTATACATATATCATATATATATATCATATAGTATCATATTTTCACATATGTATTCTAACCATATCCCTACATATTATCCCTGTGATCACTTTAATAGTCAAAACAACAAGTCAACACCACACCTCCGTGGTGGTGGAGCAGGTATCGCATCCACACCTGCCACAAGTCGGTCGATTGTTCCCCAACGGTTCGGCATCCTTTTTGGGGCTTGCTATGCTCCATCGAAAAAAACAGTTGAATGGCAAATAAATACAAATATATATATATATACATATGTATATACTTACATACAGTTATATAAAAAAAAAAATACGTGTATATATATATACACATACAGTTATATATTTTTTAAAAAAAAAAAACATATATATATATACACATAGAAAGAGGGGGAGAGAGAGAGAGAGAGACAAAGAGAGACAAAGAGAGACAAAGAGAGACAAAGAGAGACAAAGAGAGACAAAGAGAGACAAAGAGAGACAAAGAGAGACAAAGAGAGACAAAGAGAGACAAAGAGAGACAAAGAGAGACAAAGAGAGACAAAGAGAGACAAAGAGAGACAAGAGAGAGACAGACAAACAAACAACAGACAAACAGACAAACAGAGAGAGAGAGAGATGGAGAGATGGGGAGAGAGAGGGAGGGAGAGGGAGGGGGGAGAAACGCAAACTCATTGTTTGGTTGGATATATGAGATACCGTGCCCCGAACAGGTAGAGGCCAATATAATGCATTGATATACGTATAGCTACCACTTTTCACTTTCACTTTGGCGGCATTCAAAAGGTCTCGCCTTTGCAGCCTATGCACATTCTCGAATAAGGAAAAATCTCTCAATCAACCTTGAAAATCTGGAAGCCACGGGGCGTTCTCACGCACAGTGGCGCAATCACTTGCTTTATATATGTGTCTATTTTTTAGGTGATAAACCATATGAAACCATAAAGAGGTAGGAATCAAACATGTTCACCACCGCACACGAAACTCTTCTCACACCGCCCAGGCCTGGGTCCTCACCCTGGCGTCACGTCAAGCGTCTTAAGCGTCAAGATGAGGGGGAATGAAGCAAAAAAAAATTGCGATTTTATGGTGATTTAATGATCATTTCATGGTGATTTACTGGGCTTTAGTGGATTTCATGGGAATTTCAAGGGCTGAATTATCCTCTTTTAAACCCTGTGGTGTCATCAAACGTGGCCGCAAAATCATCGAACTAAAAAGGGGGATTGACCAGCTAGCCATTTTTGATGACCGGATGGTAAAATGAAATGGGGGACACTGGCGAGGAAACAAAAAAAATGACGACTTCGCCGCACTAAGTGATGATTCACACGACAAGAATCGGAAATCAATCACATCAAAAAAGAGGTTAAGCTGTGAACGAGTGGAAAGGAACTCCAAACATGTTCCAACATCATTGATAACCTAACAGAAACTTGGGGTAACCAACTATAGCTCCTACAACATGCTACAACACTAAGTGAGATCCCCAAGATAGGAAAGTCATCATCAAGGATAGGGCCGACTCCCAATCATCTACAACTTACAACAAGGATGCAACCAACAAAACAAATAAGATGGCGATAATGTTTGCTCAATCTTCAGGATTCCCAAAGTGGAAATCAAGAAAACGGCCATGAATACATGGCCACCTCACCACATGTTGGCGTCTGAAAATGGGTGATACCACCAACAAAAATGAGGAGTCAAATGTCTGGAAATCTGATCCAAGTAGACGCTCAAGATAGATGGTAGGGAAGTCTCCAATGAGGAGTCGAATAAGTGATGATTTTGGTGTACCCTATGGATCCCTATGGTACCCTAGTTTCAGACAAACCCGAATGTGGATTGAAATGATGTTGATTCATGATGATCAGGTATTGTCTCATTGTATTCCGCTAATGGTATAACTTAGGCTGTCGCTCAAACACGTTTTCTTTATCCATTACTGCCCCCTTAACTTTCCATTACTGCTCCCTTAACTTTCCATTACTGCTCCCTTAAATTTTCCATTACTGCTCCCTTAACTTTCCATTACTGCTCCCTTAAATTTTCCATTACTGCCCCCTTAACTTTCCATTACTGCTCCCTTAACTTTCCATTACTGCTCCCTTAAATTTTCCATTACTGCTCCCTTAACTTTCCATTACTGCCCCCTTAACTTTCCATTACTGCTCCCTTAAATTTTCCATTACTGCTCCCTTAACTTTCCATTACTGCTCCCTTAAATTTTGCATTACTGCTCCCTGAACTTTCCATTACTGCTCCCTTAAATTTTCCATTGCTGCTCCCTTAACTTTTCATTACTGCTCCCTTAACTTTCCATTACTGCTCCCTTAAATTTTCCATTACTGCTCCCTTAACTTTCCATTACTGCTCCCTTAACTTTCCATTACTGCTCCCTAACGTTCGCATGTACTGCTCCCCTTAAATTTTTCGCATTACTGGCGCCTACTTTCATCTACTGCTCCCTTAACTTTCCATTACTGCTCCCTTAAATTTTCCATTACTGCTCCCTTAACTTTCCATTACTGCTCCCTTAACTTTCCATTACTGCTCCCTTAAATTTTCCATTACTGCTCCCTTAACTTTCCATTACTGCTCCCTTAACTTTCCATTACTGCTCCCTTAAATTTTCCATTACTGCTCCCTTAACTTTCCATTACTGCTCCCTTAACTTTCCATTACTGCTCCCTTAACTTTCCATTACTGCTCCCTTAAATTTTCCATTACTGCTCCCTTAACTGTTCCCTTAACTTTCCATTACTGCTCCCTTAACTTTCCATTACTGCTCCCTTTTCCATTACTGCTCCCTTAACTGTTGCCTTGACTTTCCATTACTGCTCCCTTAACTTTCCATTACTGCTCCCTGAACTTTCCATTGCTGCTCCCTTAACTGTTCCCTTAACTTTCCATTACTGCTCCCTTAATTTTCCATTACTGCTCCCTTTGCTGTTCCCTTCTGGGGGGAGTTAAGGGAGCAGTAATGGGGCCCCTGGGGGCCAATTTGGAAGCCAATTTGGAGGCCAATTTAGGGGCTCGAAATCATGGATTTTTGGCGAATTTTGGACCCCCAAACGGACCCCAAAACCTCCATTACTGCTCCCTTAACTGCGGGAGTTAAGGGAGCAGCGAGTTAAGGGAGCAGTAATGGTTTTTACAACCTAATTCGCATTACTGCTCCCTTAACTTTTTCCATTACTGCTCCCTTAACTGGGGGGAGTTAAGGGAGCAGTAATGGGGCCCCTGGGGGCCAATTTGGGGACTCGAAATCGTTTCACCAAATTCGGCATAGCATTTTGGCTTTGGTAGCTTACGGTCCCAGACTTTGCCCTTGACTTGATGGAGAAAGTTAAGGGAGTGGTAATGCAGAAAATGGAGAAAGTTAAGGGAGTGGTAATGCAGAAAATGGAGAAAGTTAAGGGAGCAGTAATGCAGAAAATGGAGAAAGTTAAGGGAGCAGTAATGCAGAAAATGGAGAAAGTTAAGGGAGCAGTAATGCAGAAAATGGAGAAAGTTAAGGGAGCAGTAATGCAGAAAATGGAGAAAGTTAAGGGAGCAGATGCAGTGGAGAAAGTTAAGGGAGCAGTAATGCAGAAAATGGAGAAAGTTAAGGGAGCAGTAATGCAGAAAATGGAGAAAGTTAAGGGAGCAGTAATGCAGAAAATGGAGAAAGTTAAGGGAGCAGTAATGCAGAAAATGGAGAAAGTTAAGGGAGCAGTAATGCAGAAAATGGAGAAAGTTAAGGGAGCAGTAATGCAGAAAATGGAGAAAGTTAAGGGAGCAGTAATGCAGAAAATGGAGAAAGTTAAGGGAGCAGTAATGCAGAAAATGGAGAAAGTTAAGGGAGCAGTAATGCAGAAAATGGAGGCAGACATAGGCTCTAAAGAGACCCCTCAAAAACGTGGTAGAGCGACACCCTAATGTATAATGTTGTGTCAACATGTGTCAACATGTAACAACTGCAGCTTTACTTTAGAAATACTTAACTTAAGATGGTATGTGTAAAGCGTGTGACAATTTCCGCGCTGCACCCGTGCGCATGCGTGAGCTTTTGAGCTCCTTTTCGATCCTTTTTTCATGCATCTGCCATCTCAGCAGGCAGCACCATGCAGTGGTGTTTACTACACTTGCCTGGAAAAGCTGAGATCAGGGATGGCACCAAAGTTCGCAAAACCTCAAAGCTGCAAGTCCAGACGACTTGTCAAAGATTTTTGATAAAAGATATGATACGTATAATTATGATATAAACGATATTGGCTTCGTTTGGCTTCCAACCTTCGGCTGGAATCCTGGAAGCAAAATCTCGGCACTCGCCAACATGCTCGTGCCAAGGCCATCGCGCTTCTAGTTCTACGATATTCTACGATTTGGGTGCTAACTACTATAACTTACTAGATTTCTAGCGTGGGACCAAAGCTGCAAAGCGCCATTAGAACTGATCCCAAGCTGTAAGCATTCAATCTTGTGATGCCATTACTGTCAGTGACTTCTGTGATCACCGGAGGCTCTGAGTCAGCCACGACGCCCGCAGCTGTCGTGGCTGTCGTAGTTGTCGTAGCTGTCGTGGCTGTCGCAGATTCGGTGCTGGAGCTGACATCAGTTGCTCCACTCCGCGCAGTCATTGAGGCTGATGCAATCGACAAATCACCGGCTACGGCACTCGTGCCACCAGCTACGGTGGTTGTCCTGCTTGCCTCGGTTGTGGTCCCAGCCGTTGTGGATTCAGCCTTAGTGGATTCAGCCGTTGTCTCACTGATAGTGGTTCCTACGGTTGTGGTTGGGCTTTCCGTTGTGGTTGTGGTGGTTGGGGTGCTTGGGGTCTGAGTGGTTGTAGTGGAGGTGGCTGTGGCTCCGGTGACTGCAATTGTCGCAGTGCGGGTCATGGTCGTAGGGGTCGTGGCGGTCACGCTTCTTGGAGTGGTCGTCTTGGTCGTGGTGGCCATAGTGGAGGTAGTGGAGGTGGAGGTAGTGGTCAAGGTGGTCGTGGTGGTCGTAGTCGCGGTGGTTGTCGTAGTGGTTGTGGTCATAGTGGTGGTGGTCGTAGTGGTGGTCACAGTGGTGGTCGTTGTGGTGGTGGTGGTGGTCGTGGTGGTTGCTGCGCTGTCCGCTGAGTAGTAGATCTCACTGGAGCTCAATGCTGGAAGTTCCTGAACGTTGGTGCCCATGTTGGAACCAGTTGCATCGAAGCAGGGACAATAGCGATCATATTGCACGTTGCCTGTCTTGGTTGTCAGCGTGGTGCCGCTGCCGCCATCATTGTCACAGTCGGAGTACAAGCTGCGGCACACGGCAACACTGACCAACCCCCCGCTCTGACTGGGACCATGACAGCCCACAGTGAAAGGAGCTTGGTCTTGCACGTGGTAGTGGTACACTGGGGTGGCTGAGTCAGGTGTTGGACCAATATGAGCCCCACACGCATCCAGCAAGGGTAGCCTCTTCAAATCATAGTCTTCCCATTTGCCATAGATGCCATGGGACGCAACGTCTCCCACCTTCCTGAAGATGGCTTGACTCAAGTGCTCAAGTCCACCATGAGACAAAGTAGAAAAATGCAGCATAAGGCAGCGTCTTCTGTTCTATATTCTAAGTGTCTTTTGTGTTTGTGGTTCCGAATGAGTGTCCAAGAGATAAAAGGGAAAGGAGGAGGATGACAAGTGATATCTCGTGTGCAGTTTCAACCCACGCAAGTGAATGCCAACATTGATGCAAACAATGACTCAAAGAAAATCTGTTCAAATAAGAACGATATGGAAACAATTCAACAAAAACAACATGAGACAACCCAGCCAAGTCTCGTTGAGTGACCACCAGATTCAGCGTACAAGCAGCTGAAACCTCTGTGAAAGTGGTAGTCATTCGTGTGACCACCACAGGGGCCAACCACCCCGTAGTAAGTGTTACCTCCACAATGTCCAAGCAGAGAAAATGCGGCAAGGCACAAAAAATATCAAAAAAACAGAAACGAACAAGGGCATCCCTGGAGTATGAAGCATCTTGTAAGCCTCAAAAATAATAGCATAGGCAGCATAGGGTCTTAGTTTCCACAGAACCACTGATGTGAAATAATGGTTTTCCATTGTTTCCACTAAGTCAGCCGAATTCACAATCAACATCAATCAACATCTTAACTTAACATCCATTGCCTATTGGAATGCCAAACAGATCATCCCTGCCTACAATCCGAGGGAATTCGATGTTGCAAAGGTGAGCCACACGCTTCTCAGCGATGCCAATATCGGTTCCACCTTCGGTGTCATAGACGACCTTGGTCCAAAAACCCGTGGATCTTAAAGCCTTGTACTTGACTGATCTTGACTGGAAAAGTGCCACAGAATGGAAGCTGCAATCCAAGATATAAACCTGATTTCTGGCTTCAACATCATTTCAAAAATATATCAAACATTCTCAAACATCCAATTCAAGCGACAGAAGGAGTTGAACAACCCCAAGTTGAGATGATATTGTCCTGCTGCGAGGTAAATCCAGCCTCAAAAGGCCCATAGATATGTGCCCCACTGCTGATGGTGTCACCAATTGACAACGTCTCGTGATTGTAGGTCTCCATTCCAGCCACACTGGTGCAACCAACGTCGCCCAACAGGGGCGCGGCGCAGGGAGGGCTGCTGCACGATGGATTTGTGCAACCAGCCGTTCCACCCGAAGGCGGAGAAGGGCCAGTGCCGCCAGGGGGGGCACCAGGGCCACCTCCACACCCAGGGGGAGGCGGTCCAATGCCGGGACCCCAAGTTACTCCGTGCCCAGAACAATCCTGGCCTGAACAGCCAAGGGCAGCTGCCAACAAAATAACTTTGGCCAACGCCATTGAGTTTAAGCAGTTCACTGATCACTTCAAATGAGCCTGGTGAAGCAAGTCAATATAGCCAATGGAATCAAGCCCATGTTGACTTTGGTTGTGGTGCTCTAAATTTAGTTCCCTGTGTGTGCGTATTTTGGTGGAAGCCTTCTGTTTCTTGACACCTCAGTCATGCTGGGTTAAGGCCCCAATCTAAGCCAAAAGGCTGCCTGCCAAACATAGCCAAGCACCAGATCACCAACTCATCGGCACAGAAAAACGACAAATTGTGCTGCCACACACTGGCTTGGGAGTCCACGCCATATATGCCTTCCTCGACTTGGCTAGGATGACAACACCTTGCAGCTTTTTGCAGCTGCAGGACACAGATTCTCGGATCAAACAGCAGATGTATCGCTATTGGTCGACTCGGTCGACGTTGATGACGCTGTCTCTTTACCGACCTGAGGTTTGTCTGTCCAATCGGTTGACAGGGTGCAGGTAAGATGTGTCCTCGTCACGGTTTGCAGTTACATCATGTTACATCTGTAAAACAGCTCTGAAACAAACGAACAGACCAGATTGACATCAACATGTTGTGCTATCATGATCTATCATGGTCATGTCATGATCACTTCATCACGTACAAGAAACTTGGTTCCAATATGTTCCAATCTTAGCCTCCAGTCCATTCCAGTCCTGAAGCTGAAGGTGTGAGGTCTTTAGGATTTCCGTCAAGGAGGATCTTTGGTATTTGCCCTGTCAACAAGATCAACAAGCAGCTAGCGAAAGAGTGAAATCATGTGAAATCAAACCACTTCTGATTGATGTTGATTGGATGTTCAAGGTGTACTGTGAGGACTCCTTTGGAGCTCTTTTGTTTCAAGACAAAGTCTGTAAAGAATAAAGAATCCATCCAGGGTCTTCATACAGGATTGGTACAGCCTGCGGATGGCAAGGCACACCAGCGGGCTTCTGCACAACGAGAACCTTCACAGGGTGTAAAACATATCGCGTTCCGGCTGACTGCTGTCAGTTTTGCCGTGTTCCACAGTCCCGGAGAGATTTTGACCGACTTCCAAAGTTGAAACGTGGAGCAATGACCAATCATGGTCAAATGAGTCAGATGGTGGATTTGTTATTGCTGCTTTAGAAAGCCGCAGAATTCGATTTGAACGGCTCCATGACTCAACAGTTTTGTCCGAATTGAGAGCTGGACGTGTTCATTCTCTGCGAGCACAAGTATGGACTCTGCTGGCACAGTTGGCTCCTGCAATCTTCTTGATGTCTGGAGACCATTTCGCTATGCTTCAGTTTACCCAAACGTCACACGTTCAGTCCTCAACAATATAGCGGTGCATCAAAACATCTCCGTTTTCCTGACCAGGGCTCATTGAATTTGAAGAACCAAACAGACTTCAACAGAGATGGTCCCATAAAATTGAAGTTGAATGCACTGTAATTGGTGAACACTCCCTGGGTCCCACAGCATGGCTTCGGCACTGGCACTGGCACTCGCAGTCAAGGCACAAGCATCACATCCGGCTCGCAACGCCGGCCGTTCAGCTGCAGATCTTCTTTCTGTGTCGCGCCAGCCACCTGTCAATCGTTTATACAACATTTGAATACATTTGATACCCAGCAACATCCGGCAACCCATCATAACATAACCATAACATAACCATAACATAACCATAACATAACCATAACATAACCATGGCCATCTACAATAATCATCAATAATCTACATGCCATGCTGGCAGCCCAAGGGGCCCAAGTTCTTGAGGCCACTGCATATGTTTCATCATAGCCAAACTCCTGCATCACCTGAGAAAGGAAATGGAGTCGCACATCAGCTGCCAAAAAAAATGTCATAGAACCAGGTAGAATAGTCCGACCTGCATTGGAAAATCATTCGGTGAGACATGGTGAGACCAGAAATAGGCCTGATGAAGCATGCGACCTCGCCAGCGCATCTTGATGTTCACTGTCCTGGAGTTCCAGGACCAACTGGCACCAACTCCAAGGATGTGAAAACACAGCACCGTCAGCACCGTGTCAAAAATTTCAAAAATGTCATCCTTGTAATTTCATATGGAGCTGGGCCGACGCGTTGATTGCGCACCTTCATTCGAAACGGCGTAAAAAAAGAAAGCAATGAGAAGAACAGGCAGGGATCCAGTGTGCCAGTCCACATCTGCCACAAGGACATAGGTTTCAGCAGCGAGTGGGGAATATGGGGCTATGTTTCACCGTTTCAAGCGTCAGTATGCGTCAGTATTGAAATTCTGAAACAATGCACATCGGTTCACATCGGTTCACACGACTTTGGCACCTGGAAGTCTGGGGGAAAGGCCACAGGCACAAAGCCCGCAGGTTTGGTTGTGACGTCCACTGGCATCTGCGACGGTAGGGGCAAATTTGGCATACCCACACAGCGTGTTCGCGCTCAAGGGGGTTGAATTTGAGTCTGGTGGTTTTCAGTCAGGGATGAAGGACTTGTTCTTCAAGCCTTATGTTCAATTCAAACCTCATGTTCAATTGTTGTACAAGGCTCTGAGAACAAGCCACTGCCATCAGGGTTGGTTAAAATCGAAAGACCTTCTTTTTCCTTGTTATTTTATCTGTTTGTTTGCTTCTTTTCCTTCCTTTTTGTTTCTTCTTCTGCCTTCTTCTTCCTTCTTCTTCCTTCTTCTCTTCCGTCTTTTTCTATCGCATCAGAACTCAACACCCTAAAAATAAATCCACAAGAAACAAGCCCCGCCTGCGTCCAGTCGGGCGGTCAAACGCGCATCAGTATCTAGAATCCTACTGTGTCTGAGCCCGAAGATTCAGCCAAAAGCATCTCTCATGCTGTGCACGGCATGAATTCCAACACACATCTCCGAGCAAAGAAGATTTCCATAGCCACATTTGCGTTTGGACTCGCAACAAATGTCCAATACATACCAGGCTGCCCTTATAAAGTCTCCAGCAACTGGCAAGTGGCTTGATCTATTTGATCTATTGAGCGAGCTGTTGAATGCATCAAGCAATTGGCTAAAGCTATGACGTCTATGGCTGGTGAGCTCATTAAAAGGCACTAACGCCACTGGTGTTTTTTTTATCGTGGGGAAATCTAAACCAACTGTGGGCCCGAAAATTCAGCAGTTGACACTTTCAGCCCATCCCAAAAAATCAACCAAGCTGGTCTCCCAGGAACGCGCAAAAAAAGATGTTTGAACATGCCGGCTGGTTTCTCCGGCTACAAATTCCACAAACATCCTCTTGATAGCCCCCTTGACATGTTGAAATCGTCAACATGTTTAATGGCAAACCGGGGGGGGTGCGCGCAACGATACTTACCCTCAAGACATACATAGCCCCTGGAAACACACTGTGGGGGAACCTTTTCCCTTCATCACTTGCAAAAAAATTTTGAGAAACCATCTCGCGAAGTGCAATGAACATGATGCAAACTTTGCACAAAGCCCGGCAGAGCCCAGTTTTGGGTGACCTTTTTAATCACAACAATGATGTCATGAAGCGTAGACCAGGTCCAGAATATCCTTCAGGATACCGAGGGTCTTGGATGGACATAATAGACATAATAGACATATGTGACATATGATACTATGACAATAATATGACATCGTTTCACATGCTGGCATGTTAAAAACCGAATCGATGCGAATCGGAGGCATGTCCTCCGGTGATTTGTTGGTGAAATAGTCGCTTTCAAGCCGAACACCCTCTACCTACAGACATGACAAGTTCTGTGCTGAGAATTGCTGAGATGTTTGTTCATTTCAGGGACAAAGAAAGCTTTGCACGGTCTTTCTCGTGCACAAATCCTGTGGGAAAATGGCTGTTGATCTGCTAAGTTTCAACATGTTTCAAGTCTCACCTCCTCGGACTGTTGCTATGCTTTCAAACTTTCAAGTCTTCTGTTCCAACCTGGCAAAGCTCCACCACTCGCTCCCGCACCTCCGAAAAGCTTTCAACACGTCACGACATGTCGTTTGAAGCGGCAAGAGACTTCAATGGTGAGCTGCGGTGAGCTTGCCATGTTTGAGCTGAGCTGCTTCAAATCTGCACTGCAGATACTGCAGTTCATGTTGCTTCCTTTTTAAGCCACGGAGCTCCAAGGGACATAGTTTCATCCCAGAGCACTAGAGGTCTTTCCTACTGTCGCCTCAAGCTTCCCTATCGCCCCAATATCGTCCCAATCTCATCGCGTTAAGTTCAACATAGTTCAACTGTACAGAGTCAGGATGAGTCAGGCACATTATCCCTACGCCGGGAAGCTTTGAGCAACACTTTCCTAAAGCGAGGCTGTGAACCATCTGGTCCCGTGGTGCCACAGGTTGAAATAATGGAGGGCCGCCTGAGCTATCATGCCTCGTGTGCACAACACATCAAAATACTGAAATCATTATCAAAGCGCTGTTGTGGCCCAGGAATGAGCTTCTGCCATTGACCCGGATGCCATCAGAAAAACACTCCTAGGTGGCCAGGTGAAAGTTGAAGAATCATCAGGGGTTGCTCAGCACATTTTGGATGAAAACAAGTGGACACTGCTTGGTTAGAGATAAAATTAGATAAGACTCCAAGAGCTGGAAAACTCACATCTGCAGCAAACATGACATGAACATGACATGGTGCCAACCTGCCTCTGACGATACGTTTCTGTACTTTGAAGATGTTTTAGGAAGATTCTAGGAAGATTGCATAAGATTGCGAAGTGCCATGGACACAATGGACGCAATGGACACTATGGACACCTGGCTGAGCGACCTCATGTCAGGGGCACCTCGATGCGAGCCATGTATCGCACCTGACAGCGGCCCAGTGCCGAAACATCTTGCAGTCTGTCTCCACTTGTGAACACTCTGCACTGGCAAGCGTAGAACGGGTTTCTTTGAATGCTATGTACAAATCATTTGCTTCAATTCAAGCAAATCTACAATCTTAGCTTCGAAACGTCTGAAAGCATTGCACTGTTGTTTCCTGTGCTTAGAGCCAGATTCACACATCAAAACTCTCGAGGAAAGAGGATTCTGAGGCACGGAACGTCCAAGGGTTCTGCATCCATCGTGGCACAGTCTGGTGTTTGATCTGAAGGGATGACCCAAAACCTGGTCTCACATCAGTTCAGTCAGACGAAACCTTGAATGCAACGCAAGTTTCCGGGAAGACATGTGTGAACTCGAAAAACAAACCTCTATCAGGCAAACAGATGCAAACCATCTAACACGATCCAAGCAAACCCAATGGCCCAATGAATGTCCCAATTTGCAGTTGTCTGTTCAACTCGTTTCAAGTCCTTTCAAGAGAGTTGGTAGACTGGTAGACCCACGGGTGCCTTCGGCCAGCGAGGTCCGAGATCGCCTTCCCCCACTTCGGGTAGATGGAACCATCCTGAAGTGCCTTCTCGGCCTTGACCTCCATCAAAGCCAGGATGTCCTGACACAAGACCAAGGAGCTTTTCAGTACCGAGCGAACAAAAATTGCGAACATCTTTGATCTATCAAACCCAAGGAGTATACATCGACCTATCAAACCCAGCTGGAGTATAAATTGATGTGTTCGATTTCTCAAACGAGCTCCACGACCCCCTCCTTCAGGGTCATCTCAGGTCTGATCTCCTGCCCTGTACTCTCTGGCAGTTTTCCGGATTTCTTGGCTTTTTGCCACTCACTCACATACCTGGTGGATGATGGAGAAATACAGAACAAAACATATATATATATTATATATATATATATATATAGTAAGTATATTTATGGTAGAATTGCAGAATGAAAATGCTGATCGCGGCCATATGCTATGAAGCGTTTGACCCACAACCCACAGCAAGGTGGGGCACTTCATCTTTTGAGCTGGCGGTATGGCAGCTGAAGCCTGGATCTTCTTCATGGCATCAGCCTGTCAATGATGTTGCGACTGTGAAGTACACCGATATCATGAGATGAGGATGGATGATGGATAAGGGTTGTTTCTGGTTGTCTGTGGTCGTCTTGTTTCTCTGCAACAAACGCATGGTGTGAGACAAAGAAATCTCCTCCCTTCAAACATGTCTGTCTCCAAGCAGTTTCTGATCTGTGGCCCTGCGATAACAAAGTGCCTGTCCATCCGTCAAAGGTGGCAAGAGCTTTGCATCGATGGACACTGGGGGTGGGTAGATCTGCGAGGAGACCGGTACCCGCATTTCCTTGTTCTCCTGCACCGAGCCAACTGAATCTGTTAGCCAATTGCGACATTCCGTTGAAAGCAGAAGGAGAATCTGCAATCTGCTTGGACACTCTATGCTTTAGGAAAGGTTGCGTGGATTCTGCAGCCGAAGTCATTGAAATCAGTTGCCTCATCCACAACTCTCTTCCAGCCCAAGACGAAGCTCCAATTGCGAAGCCTCAGAGCAGCTCAGAGCGCATCACAACCGCAGCACTGAGGTCGCCGACGTCGTCCAGGCCGTTCAGGTTGCTGCTTCAGCTTATGCTCCTTTGCCAACCAATCTTTGAAGCCCTGCACAGCACCGAACTCCCAATGGTCCCAAGCGGCACACTGCGAAGCACTTCAAAGCTCTGCAAGAGTAATTTTGCTTCAATAATATAATATATATAATAATAGTAATATAATATATATATATAAATATAATAATAATAATAGTAATAATAATAATAATAATAGTAATAATAATAATTATTATTATATATATATTGATATATATTGTAATAATTCAAATTAAAGAACATATTATTCAAGTAATTACTCTTCTGAATTCAAGCAATATTTTTTTTCTCCAAGCTGCTCTGTATAGTTCTTCTGATTTTTGGTGTTTGAAGCTCTGCCTCCAGTGTCATTGTGCCTGTGGGCACCGAGAGCTTGTCCCACACGCTATGCTTCTCCGGGTAAGAAGCATAGGCTTCTTCAAGGACATACTCTGCCTGGAGCATAGTTTTTTTAATGTTCATCAGGCCCATTAGGCGCATCAGAAACGACAATTACAGTCAGTCTTTGAAATCCAAGCAGGGATCACTATGCCAGTCCTTTTCGGTGTTTGTAATTGGATGTAATCCTCAAATTTCACGGCCTTGTCATGTACAGTTCCTCCACATCAACAAGTCCCGTTTCAGCCTTGATTTTTCCTGCATCGTCGAAAGCATCGGGAGGCAACTCTTCTGCCTCGCGTCCAAGAAATATGACCGATGCGACCATTTTCTCCGACACGCTTCACACTTTGTCGAGCGAAAGTGTTACGCTTCTTGCTTTGGGTGAGAGAGTTCCATCTTCAGTGCCGGCGTCTGCATCATCCCGCGTGTGCAGCTGGGGCCGCTGGGGGTCAGGCGCGTGGCACTTTCTTCTCAACGCCTGAGGAGAAAGACCGAGGCTCCTCACAGACAAACGAAGCAGTTTCCTCCAGAGTTGATCTGTCATTGTTTGTCATCTGTCTTCAAAAAACGCCAAGCGTTCCTCTTGAAGAAGCAGGTTGTTCCATGTTGACGTGGCTCACTAGCAACTAACTTCACAAGGGGACTCCAGAAAGAAAATGGTTGTATAAAATATACAGTATAATGACTCTGACATGCACAGTTTGTATCTGTTTGTTGGTGCAAGGGTGCTTCGAGCATGCAAGGCGTGGCAATGAAGCCCTCCTGAGCTTCGAAGGATGTGTAAGTGTTCACGGCAAGCCCGATCTGCACAGCAAATGTCGAGATTCGAGAAGCGTCCAAAGCTTGGAAGATCTTGGAAGCATTTCCCAATGGCAGTTCTGGAGTACAATTGCAAACGCGCAAGAAACATCAAGAAACACGTTCCTAATATATAGTTCCCAATAGTTCCCATCAAGTGTCACTGATTGTGGATCGCCTGTCGAGTGCGGAAGCCATCCGTGTTCTTTCCCTGAAGCAGCTTGAAAAGCTCAAGCATCACCTCAGGATTCTTCAGCATGAGTGTTGAGGCAAGACAAGTATAAACAAGTCAAGCAATCACAATGGTAAAACATGGTAAAACCGTTGGAACTCTCCATTGCATCAAGTCATTCTGGAATGAGTTGCAAGATATCTGGACAGGCTGTTGACCCTTCAACCATTGGTCCAGATATCTTGCAACTGGTTGCCACTGGTTGCTGAGGCAGCTGCCAAACCACAAACCGCTGCAGTGGTGGTGGCAATGGCTGGTACAATGCGTCCAGCCACCAGTTTCACCTCGTGTTGCTGCAGCAGACTACGGATACGATTTGGGTGTCCAAGCAAACACAAGATCTGTTTGTCTCATGACGCTTCATCACATTTGATCAAATCTTCCAGAATCCAAGGTAATCGCAGAATTATCAAGCAATCACACAGGTATCATGACTTCCTCACCGAGAAATAGGCCTTGTGAAAATCCGAATTGGTGATGTGATAGTTGTCAGCTCGGAGGTTTGCACACCGAGTGATGAAATCGATGTGATAGTTGAAATCATCGTCCTTCAGGATTCGGATGCCCTTATGACATCTTATGACAGAATCGCATGGGATCTGCAAAAGAATTCTATAAAGCAAAAATACTGTTCATAATTTTGTCACCCTGTCAAAAGCGCGTTGTGATTTGGTGCAATTGACATTAAATCCGTTCACATCTCTTTTGGTGCCCTGTCTCGTTAGTTGCAAAATTGTTCATTATCATGAAACATGAACATCAGCATGAATCCTGAGACCGACATTCTCATCAACCATCATCCACTCATCCAAGAAGGCACATCACATCTCACAACCGGCTATCATGTTTACCATTTTGCGCTGCCGGTGCAGCAATGCCGTCCTTCTCGAAATCTGCCTCTTCCAGGGCAGGCAGAGGCTGTCCTGCAAATCCCTGGCCATCAGGTTGAAAAATGTAAAGAAAAAACAATTTCCTGCATCAAGGGCAGCAGCATCTTTAGGTCGTTCTTTTCGTTTATGCTCAAAAATTCTCAAAGCGCATCTACTTTGAGGAGGCTGTGCCTGAAGCTGCTGCAAAAGTCCTTGCAGAATGGCCTGGCTGAACACCGGTCAAAGATTGGACGCCCCGACAACAAGCACTACTGTTTTCTGCGTCCATTTGTTCTCTTATAGGGCATTGCGCGGCATTTCAAGAAACTTGTCGCTTGACGTCGATACAAGGGATGCATGATATAGGTTCATAAAGGTGACGTAGGCTGTTTTGCTACAATGTCGTTTTATCACGTTTTACGCAGCTGCTGGCTGTCGAGCCGAGGGGCCCTGCCTTGGAGTCCGCCTTCACGCCTGACGTCACGCCGCCCGCCGTGGCGTCGCCTCGGCGGGGCGCTGCATGTCGGCTGCGTGAAAGCGTGGAACATAAAAGGCAACAGCATGCGACAGCGAGTTGTGGAGCGGTTGCGCAGTGGCTTTGCAGCTTTGCCCAGCGTGCAACGGAAAGCGTGGCGCCAACTATGCAAAGAGCCCCAGAATGCGCAATGCGTCAGGTCAAAGAAGCGAAGATTCCTCTCACATCCTGAAGTGTTCAATTGCAGCATAGGTGACGTTGCATGTGCATTATGAGCGTACACATGACTAAGCATATGCACAGGCGCATCATCAGCATCATTGGAGGTTGGCAACTTTGTCTGATTCATACTCCAGCCCGAAACTGCTTCAACATGCTTCAACTGCTTCAGGTGATTGCCGGCTTTAGCATGAATCATCCAATCATCCACGTTTGTTATTTAATTTATGATTATTTGTGACAAACAAAATCAGCAGGCAAGAGATCTACCAAATACATCCAAATACAAAGGCATGTTTTCTGGAAAGTAGCCACCGAACATGGCAAGGCAAACATTCTCACATCCAGTATTCTCACTTCTTGGCCAGCTTCAATTTGATTCAAACAAGAAGGGCTGGCACAGAACATCTATCTCTTGTAAGGCTCGTCAGAAGTATGCCGATTCGATTCTATTCACCAGGGGACTGAAGATCCAGGGAGACAGCGATTCAACAGAATGCAGTGATTCTCCGCTGGAAGTCCAATTGACTGTATCTGTTGTAAATTGGGGCTGGAACTCATTGCAATCTCCAAAGAAACGACTATGCAGACTATGCCGGATTAGGATGGCTTAGGGGGGGGACCTAAATCATGTGCTGTCCATCTGCCTCACCAGAGGTTACAGCACGGCTAAACACTGGATGCACCCGGTAACTGGCTGAGATGTGGCGGAGATGAACTGGGCTGAATTTTGTTTGGGGGAGCTTGGGAGAAGTAAACCTGTAAACCTTGGAAATTGAAGCAAATGACAGCTGTGGAAACTGAATTGGAGCCCCAACTCCCCAGCCCGCCCAAGTGTCTGTGGCACTGAGTGGTCTTGGTCGAGGCCGTCCAGGAGAGTTCCGTGCTAAGTAGAGTGCCATCTGTATTCACTCCACCAGCCACATACTCGGGGACTTTCAGCTTCTGGCGGATGCAATCCCAATACTCATAATGCCCACACAGAGTTTTGCTCAAGAAAAATGTTCGGATGAAAAAAATATGTTTGCCTTTTTGCACAAAAATGTAAAAAAAAATGTACATGTTCAGGCTGTTTGCCTTAAACTTTTGCAGATTCTCTGCCTTTAACTGCCCCAGCCTGCACCAATGCTGCAGCCCAGGCTTTCCTCTTGAACTCCTTGAGATTGACAGCAGCTGCTGTAAGGTGATGGGAAAAAATGGAAAAGAGGAACAGCAGAGTGTGTTTGACTCAACATGACTCAACACAAACAAAGACAACCGATGACATCAGATAGTCAGAAGATGTCAGAAGCGGAAGTTTAGAGAAACTTTGTGGCTGAGCTTTGGGAAATACAAAATACATATTATTTCGTAGTGTAACTGGTGCCTGCGACGGAACATCAGACCTCTTGGCCGCTCCTGGCACCAGCTGTTGTCACCTTCTTGCTTCTGTGGCACAGCACCCAGCATTGCCGCAAAGAGGGCTGTCGAGGCTGCCTGACAAGAGGCCCATCTTCTCACTGCCCCGTGAAACACCAACAATGTCCAACCACTCAGAATGAAAAGATTCAAGAAGAAACTAACCAAGAAAGATCAAGAAAGGATCAAAGGCCATTAGAGCCATGTTATCAACGTAGCCATTGCATCGTGCTGCATCTCTCAAGATTTCCATGCCTTGTCTCTCAAACTGCGTAAACTCGACCCGTCATTTGGTGACATTTGGTGACTGGGGCTAAAACCAAAAAGCGCCAATGTGTCTCTTTCTCCACATCAAAGCAGGTGGCATCTGGAAACCTCAAGATGCATCAAGGACTTGTGGACCGCGAGACTGCCACAGGCTGTCACAGTGACAAAAAGTGTCGTCACAGTGTGTCATGGTGCGTTTCTGTGTGTCGAAGTTGCCTCTTGTGTCCAGACCAAAAGAGACCTTTGTCCTGGCACGCGGTAAAGCCAGGGGTCAATGGGCCAATGATGCTAATGCATTCGAATCAAGGTGGCTGTGTTTGTGTAGCTTCCGAGCATGGGTGGACATCGGACACTCACTTCAAAAACCATTCCGATATATCATAACACCTGCGAAGATGTGTGCTCTACGCATGATTTGGCTGAATTGCTTTGCTTTATCATGCAGGTGCAATTCCAAAACACATCTTTCGTAAATTGTATCGAGTCTGTAGAGAATGCAGTCTGGAGTGTGAGTGATACAAACCTGTTGAGGTCTCTCCTTTGTTCTTGCTGCTGTGCCTACACACATACCCAGGCATACTTGAGGTCTCAACGACCCCAGGATTGTGAGGCGGTCCCCTGGCGGTCCCCTCCTGCTTCGTATCTGGGTCGATGATTCGAGCATCAGCTGGAAAGGCCGCGGTCAGATCCAAGATCTTGTCCCGAAAGAGGAGGTGAAAGAAATCTGCGCGGCATGGGTAGCTGTTGGATGTAGTAATGGTATGTAATGGTATGTAATGGTATGTAATGGTATGTAATGGTATGTAATGGTATGTAATGGTGGCAAGTCCCGTAAGTCACAGTGCAGAACGAAGTTAAAGAATGGATCTCGGATCTCTCAGAATCTTGAGATATTTTGAGATATTTTGATACAAACACATCGGCCCAAGAGCTGGCGCACCAAAGGCGGTTTGCCCAGCGCTTTCCACGCTCGGACGTGACGCTGCGTTCAGCAGCGACAGCAGCCCCCTCACCTGTGGATAGAACTGGAAATGAGTTGAAGGTCAGCAAAAAAACAAGGCTGTGAACAATGGTTGGATTAAACAGATGTCGAAAGTTTTTGCATTTTTTGCATAAAGATGTGAAAAGCCGTGAAAACACTGTCCAACCTTGTATCAATACTTTGTCTGGCATGCACTTTGTCCAAACCAAAAAAAATATGACGTTTGGCAGTCAGAAGCAAGTGAGCCTCGAAAATGGACTGCGTCATGTCCGTGCTGGATCCAATTTCTGAAATAAAGGTAGCGGGATCCTGGCAGAGGATGCTGTTGATAAACACTACGAGTCCTCGATCAAATATGATCAAATGTGACCAGATCAACAGGTCTGTCCTCGTGAAATTTCTTCAGTTGCTTGACGGATTTCACGAAGAAGAGCTCAAATTGATCACGGGCCTGGCACATCTGGCAAGTTCAATATAAGTTCAGGGAGTTCGGGCCCAACAGAGACGAATGACGCGAATGGCGCGAATGTCGCAAAGGCTTGTGCCGGCAGGACCCATTCAATGCAGTGATCCGGCAAGTGAGGAAAGTTTCGCAAGGTACACCTGCAGTGGGCAAGGCCATCTCAAGTCACATCCAAATCACATCGCCCAGTTTCAGTTTCAGGAAATGTGGGTCAGAATTATTCGAAGTACTAAGATGGAGTCAGATGGACTTTTGATGACTTTTGTGTTGTAGAATGTAGGATGTTGTAGGCTCCAAGGCAGCAGCATAGGAATGCCACCACCTTCATCAGCCTGGCCACCATCTCGGTACCTGGACGACAAGATCTGAACGAAAAATCACAGACTCAGTCGACAGCACCGCAAGCACCGGAAGCACCACAGCCTTTGGAGATTTTGGATTGGATTTGGATGTCATATGATGTCATTGGCACTCTTGGCACTGCAAACTCTCTCTGTTGCAAGGTTTTTCTACCACCAGCACTCGTCTTGCTTTTGACTGGTTACCAGAGAGCCCTTCTTCAGATCTGCGTTTCGAGATCACTTTCCAATGTCGATGCTTTGGCATATCTTACGTGTCTCGCTGTCCACCTCCAGGCAATGGTCGTCTGGTAGTTTTTGGTCGTCGGCTTCCAGTGATTCCAATGTCCACCATGGCTCACCGCACTGCCACGTTCAGAAGTCTCCACTCAGAAACGGCCGCTTCAGGGTGTCCCAGCTTGGATCGTGTCGTTTGGCCAACGCTCTTGCCCGCAAAGCACCTGGTGAAAGCAGAGATGGACATCGAAAGATGAAAATGGATGAAAATGGGAAAATGCTGCAATATGCTGCATCTGCATCTGGAAACTGTACTCCGTTTTCATCCGTTTTCTCTGATCGCAAGACAAGTCTTGTCAAGGCATTTCACGTCAAATCCAAGGTGCCGCCAACACAAGTGACCAACACCGCAGCAATTGGAAGAAACTGCCAGGGCAGGAAATGCCAGCTGTCGGTCCTCACGAATCAAAAATGGCTTGTGGTTTTGTCACTCTCTTTTTTTGCTCCAGCATTCACTCTTGCTCAATGCACCAATGTTTGCAAACGTGAGTTTTGCCGCCAAACCTATCAATCTTCCAGGAAATTCATCAATATGTCCTTTCGAGCAAAGTGCTTGGTGGACTTGCGCTGCAATTCATCCTGTTCCTGACAGGCTTTGCGTGCTTTGTTTTGATCACCGAATTATTTACCTGGTAGCCAGGTTTTTCTCAAACAGGGAAGTCTTTGAGACTAGAGGGCGCCGCTGCGTGAGTCTCAAGTATGAAGCTAGGAACCATCAAATTAAATGGGGACAACATGCAAGTATCATGTAAATGGTGTATCTATACTACTATGTAGAAACACATCATATGACCATAAGTATAGATGGGATATAGCCTATATATCATATAGGAATAACTATATTGATTACATATTGGTACATGATATGATAGGATCAAATTCTGAAGTGTATGCAACAAGAACCTTCATATATTCCTCATACTAGTCACACATCGTCACACATAGTCACACCACAATAATATACGAGTACCTGCACATACCTTCTGGTTATTTAACAGTTTGCCATGGAAACTGGCCCATTTATAGATGGTTTACCCATTAATAGCATGATGGATAAAGATCCATGGCAAACTGTTAATTAGTCATAACATTAAATAACCAGATGGATCCAGATGGTACTATAATATAAGTTATGACTATAATTGTTGTACAATATTAATGGTACTATAATATACATTAATATACTATAATTGTCGACAAAGTGTGCTGCTGGTGTCCCACCTGGTGTTTTTTCGGCCGAGATTCGGAAGCAGCTCCCGCAGCACAGAGAAGCGAGGAACCCCAAGGCCCGTGGCCGGGTCCCAGCCAGGCGCTGCCCGGAAACCGAAACGACACAAGCGCGTCTCAGTGGAGGCTGTCACCAACCACCACCTCAGATGTAGAAAAGATTCTGAAAAGATGTTGCAGAAAAAATCAGAAAAACCATGAAAAACCTGTGAAGATGTGAGAAAATGTGAGAAAATGTGAGAAAAGAGTTGTTAAAGATTGAGAATGCAATTCCCGAATGATCACTTGTCACTTGCACATGCCTCTTTTCCGGCTCTCTTACACTCTACACACTCCTAGTCACGCCCGTCATGTGTGAGCGATTTTTGCCTTCTCAACGAGGTGTTAAAATGTGTTAAACCTGTTAGTCTGAGTTAGTCTGGCTATGTCTGGCTGCCAAGACCTGTTTTGACCGTCTGCAAACAGAACACATCGAGGAAGGCTTGTGGATGGTCCCGATGAACCTGCAACGAAAGGATGCGAAAAGGATGCTTCAAGGTGTCAAAATGTGTCAAGTCACAACATGAAGTGTCACCTTCATCCAAACTGCGCTGAACATTGAATTTCTCGCAGAACTTTTTCGTAACTTGCCGTAACTTATTGTAGCTTGCTTTATAGTTTATTGAACATTATTGAACCATCTACAGGGGAACCTACTGTACACCATCTATATCATCTAATCATCTATTGGACCTTTGATTGTGGTACAGCACCAGCATGGTCTCTCTCTGCCTGGTAGAACCATGGATTCAACAGCCCTAGAGGTGGCTGGCCGCGCTGCGCTTGAAGCCCATTGAGACGGGAAATCAAAGCGGCCAACGCAGGAGCTGATGCCGACGTGCCATCGAAACCGAAAACGCTCTTGTTTACCAACACCTCAGTGATTTCCGAAAGCAAAAAACCTTCAACGCTTCAAAAACCTCAGATCCATTCAGATCCCAGATAGCAACCGAGCGCAAACAATTGCATCATTGCTCTACCCAGATACCGGATAGCTCTGCCCGGGCAGTGCCACATCAGGTGCAGCTCGGCTGTCTTGCACCAAATTGCTCAATGAACAGCCAGTCTTTGCTATATGTTGGCAGGGAACTTTGATTTCTTCCAACTCATGGTGGCTGACATAGGTGTGGTTGTGCACCGGGCAAACTGGAAAAGGTTTGCAGGAGGATGTTTGCAAAAACGTGTTGACTGCCAGGTCTTGGTATTTCGGTCTGGGACGGTACACCGAGAAGTAGCCGGAGCTGGTAATCAGGGCGCCGTTTCGGCTGGAACAGGTCACCTGACCCAACTCTTCGCAGTCGCCCAGGTGGCGAAACGCCGCAGCACTGCAGTAGGGTTTCGAATCCAAGGATGGCATGGTCGCTCCCACTGAGGTCACCTCAAAATACCGCTCAGCACAAAGGCAAAACATGGCACAGAAATGCACAGAAATGCATAGAATACATTGAAATACAACAGAAATCAACAGAACATTTGATCTATGGCTGGTTTCTGACATCGGCATTGCAAGTTCTCAAGGTTTCTAAGGGTGGAACCCACTCAGAGGTGCCCACCACATCCGAAACGAAGTCACAATAAGAGCCCACTGCGCTGTTGCCGTTGTCTCCACTGGCAACTATCATGGTGATACCTGGCTGTGTCGAAAGACTGCAAACAAAGTATAACAAAGTCACAAATATTAACAGAATCACAGAGTCACAGACAATTAGGTACCATTTTTAGGTACAAGTATCTTTTAAACCATGATGCAAATTCACACGATTTCACACGTCTCGGATTTCTGTTGAATATGTTCTTTACAGAACCCGCCTCTCAGCGCAAGTTTCATCAATTCGTAGTCCAAACGTTGCACAAAAGCAGCTGGATACAAAGGTTCAGCATCACCCCAACTGATACTGTGCACAAGAGGCGGTGATGTGTGGTTATTCACATCCACAGTGTAAGCCAGCATAAAGCCGTCAATGACCCATGGATCTACACCCCACCAAGTGGTTGAGGCGCTTGGAGCAAGAGCTGTGATGGTCTGCAAATCCAAAGAGCCTTCTCCTCCAGTGTTTGAGTTGTCTTTTGTCCCTCGAACTCCATGGACATGAACCGTTTTCGCAATGGGCAAACCGTAAGCGCGGTGCAAATGCTCAACATCTTCTTGCATGAAGGCCTCATCATTGAATTGAGCAACGGCTTGCGCGGCCATTTCTTGGCTGCCAGGCCTGCCAGGTGTCACCTTGCAGGGAAGTCAAGTTATCTGTGTATGTCAAGGTATGTCAAGGTCAGGTTGTGAGCTCTGCGCAACACATTGGGTCATTTGGACTCACTATGGACTCACTTTAGGAACGTTTGCAATGGGATCACAGAGTACTCTTCTGCACGGCTGCAGACACTTTCCTCTGAAGTTGCATGACTTACGTGTTCATTGGACAGAGCCATTACTAGGATTTACTAGGTGCGCATGTTGCAGGGTTGCAAATTTGCCAAAAAAACACTCTTGGAACTTGCAAGCTATAATGAGTTTCAAACTTGCAAGCTATAATAAGTGTCACATACTTTCAGGATACTTTCATGATACTTTCACCACCATCAAGTCTTTGAGCTTGGCCAGCTGGCAGCTTGGCCAGCGCTCGCCTGCAAATCACGGTAGAGCGCTTCCAGGGACTGGGCTCCTCGTGGAAGGACGGAGTTGGATGGACCGAAGCCCCAGACTTTTTCGCAGTCGCGGCCCAGGCGATTGTCCCATCCCCACGCATCGGTCGCAGCATCGGTCGCAGCATCGGTCTCGTTGTCGATTTCGTTCATTTCGCAGTCACAACCTGGTTGTCCCGGTGGGGCCAAGGCAAAGCTACCATTGTTGAAACAGACAAAGATGTCGCTCACATGCCGCAAGTTCTTCAGAGAATTCACCGCTGCCATGTGAAGGCGTCCCTGCAAAACAAAGTCTTCATGCTTCAGCAATCGATTCTGCACGAGATCATCTTGACGAAAAGTAATCTCCAAACTTTGACATCCCCTTAAGCTCCTGTTCCCTCCGGTGAGTAAACCAAAGCCTCCACTTCGAGCCACCGCATGAAACAACTTCTTCCGGTGGGAGCGGTTTCTCATGGGCTCTGCACTCTCCATCCTCTCCATCCTCTCCATCCTCTCGAGGATCTGTGAAACTTCCACACCGCGGCGACGTCTCTTTGCAGTCGCCCTGTGGGAACTTGTCCCACCCTGATCCTCTGTGGCATTTGACGAATTCGAAGGTTTGACGGGTTTGACGGGTTTCACACCTTTGAAATTGGCAGGTTCGAAGCAGTGCCATTGGGCTTCACTTCGAAGTCCTACCAACCTTTCCCTCCAGCAAATCCATCCTGCAAAGCTTCCTGTGCATGTTGCTTGGTGAGAATGATTATGAGAATGATTCTGGGAATGATTCTTTTTCAGCCTTGTTGCCGATTCCTGAGATATGTCATATTCGATATATTCCTTGCGATGCCATTTGCATGGTTTTGTCTTATTGCATATCTCCTCACCAAACCTGCTGCAAACTCCATCTGGCATAGGTGGCGTCACCAGCATGTGAACACTCTCAGGCCAAGCATTGGAGAGGTTTTCCGTCAATGCTTGCCCCAGGGAGTAGGTGGCAAAAAAGTCCTGAACTGTCATGACCACAACGTCTCTGTGCGTGACAATGCAAGGTTCACTGTGCAGCAAAGTGCCATTCACGTTGCCTTTCCGTGGTTTCAATGCATTCTGCAGCGACCTCGCCGCAGCTTCTGCTTCCGCTTTGGAAATCCCAACTCTTTGGGTCAGCTGCGCTTGGTTCAAGTATTGACCATAAGAAGCTGACCGTGGGTCAGAGACCTCTCTCGCCAATTTCTCAAGAGAGCTCCAAGTATTCCAAGTACCTTCTCTCAGAAAGACTCCAACTGTGTAGTTGTGCTTTGGGTGATGGCTCTCATTTCGAGCGAAAACACCGCCCAGAAACACCAAGCCCAGCAGCTGCCTTCCAACGAAGTTAGCCATGCAGTCGATTTATTTGACAATACTAGACGAGATGTTTACTATGTTTACTTCATTTTACTTCTATGATCAAATGCATTCGATTTGAACGAGAAAGAGCCACTTTAGGCCCCTGAGGCAAAACTCGACGGTGTGACAAAAAAGTTGTGCTGGTATAGTGAGTTGTGAATATCTCTGCAACCCGCAAGAATGATCAACATTCTGTACTAGTTTGAATAATTATTGATAGTTTGGTTAAACAGGTAGTCTATATACAGTCTACAGATGTCTACAGTAAATCGTTTCACTTCCGTCACTTCCATGGCACGTGTGCGTCTTGAATGGGACTACTGGATCCACATTTCCAGCTGGCCCCATGGTACCTGGCTTTTCGAAAGCGGAAAGTATTGGCGATGTCTTTGCAGAAAAAAACTCATAACATTCGTTCACAACTGTTACTAGGTATACCACATGAATTTCATTGAATTTCCATAGAAACATATAGGTCATATAGAAACGAATGCAGTCTATAAAAGTCTATCAATGTCGATCCCAAATGGCACACTGAAAAAAAGCCTAGAGTCTCCACCTACGGAGCGCACCGCTTTCCAACAGCGGTCTCTCGTACTTCACACACTGGTCGTCCACATAGAAACGGGCCTTGGAGATCGCTGACGAAATGTAAATGCGGAAACCATTTGTTCACCTGCTGCAACACCAAACTGAAATACCAAATGCATTTACTGCGTTTGTTCGTCTGGCCTCCATGTTGTCCAGAGCGTTACAAATGCCATCAAGAGAAAGCCAGAAGTCATCGTTGAAAGAATCCTCACAACAATTGCGTGATCAGTGAAAACAAAATGTAGTGCATAGTGAACAGAAAGAAAAGACTATACTGACAAATTCTCACATCTGCTGGGATCTTGATCATGGTGCAACAGTCTTCGAATGTCTTCGACCATTCCCATGATCTTGGGCATTCAATCTGTAACTCTTTTGCCATCCAAAAAAGCGTGATACAAAATTTGCGTATGGGTCAGAAACCAGGAAATCCCATCCTTTTTGTTTTTGAACAATGTATAAAATGTATAAATGTGTCATACCATGTCATATCCATGATACGTGATACAGCATGATACAGCTCTGTCACTGTATCTCCTCGGTCTTGGGCCCCACGAACATCTCCAGCGCCCGCACCTGGCACCAAGATATACCGAGTCCGAATCGAGTCCCACGACCAGCGTCCCCTTAAGGTGTAGGGGGTCTGGAAGTGGATGCCAAATGATGACCATATTGTAATATATTCATTATCATCACTATATATCATTATAATAATCATATCATGAATCATGATCATATAATTATACAATTATATAATGTTGATACTAGTGCAGCAGTACATTCATATAATTCCACCATATAAATACCATGCGTAAAACCAGACAAAACCATAATGTAACGAGTAGTATGGTTAAACCACTACTTTGATTAATGGTTATGATTTTTGCATACTTTTGCCATCAACAATCAGTATATCCAATATATATCCGAGGTCTAATGATGTCGAATGGAGATTGGGCTGATGGCCTGCATGGCGGGGTTCATCTGCTGTGCCATGGCGCTGGCGGCTTTGCTCTTCGGCTGCCCCACGTTGTGCTCGCGGAATAGAAACCTTGAAAGATAGGATCACAATGGATCAGATAGGGAAATAACAACAGCACTTCAGCACTTCAAATTAAAAGCAAATTGTGCGCTCAGTTGCAATCACGCCTGATATCAAGATGAACATTAACGTAAGCAGTAAACTATAGTAAACTCATAATCACGTCAATAAAACACATGACATCACATTACATGTTCAACAATGGCAGACAGATAGCACAACTCAATCTGACTGAATCTTAGATTGCCACTGTCTGGTCAAGTTGGACAGCTCAATGCGATCTGCATCTGTGACCTTTTTCCCAATGGATAGGCTCTAAGGCTGTTCTAAGGCTGTTCTATGCCATTCTCACCAATTTCTCACTCCACTCTCACCCTGGAATGACGAAAGCAGTTGCAATGACCCAACATATCTTGGTCTTGTCGGTCTTGGATGGTCTTGGATGGTCTTGGCTCCAGGCTGTTAACAAACCATTAGGACCACAGCACACTCCGTTCAAGGCGAAATTCTTGAGGAACCTGTGATGGAGTAACAGCGTGAAGGGATGGATCATGGCGAAAATAATTGGATGGAGTAACATGAGTTTAACAAGCACTGTAAAATATTGATAAATATTGTAAATCATGAAGTAACAAGAACAGATCATTCTCAGATCATTCTCAGATCATTCTCAGATCATTGTGAAAATTTGTGAAATGTGTAAATCCAAGGCACTCGCACCCCAAAGCTCCACAGCCCACCATGAAGTACCTGCGAAATCTGCGAATGTCCGGCATGTCAGACGGCCATGCCCCATGTCTGTTTTTTTTGTTCGCGCCGTTCGCGCCCTGGCTCCGGCACTTTAGGTCCTGCAGCTTCTGTACGAAGGAATGGCCGAAGACGGAAGCCAACGAATCGTACCTGAGTCGACAGATGTCGACAGCCTGACCAAATCGGTGGATATCTCTGGTTCTTCCATACCTTCCATAATCCTTCCATGGCCAAGATCCAGGTGATGTTGTAACTTTAGAGTTCACCGACAGCCAACAAGCCAAAGTAGATGAAACTAGAAATGTTTCACATCTGGCTTGACCAGTTTCAGGACATGCGAGGCATGCATAGGCATGCTGGATTCTGAAACGATGTGAAACGATATGAAACGAGTACGATCGATTTTGTGCTGCCATGTCACCGACTGCCAGTTGCTTGAGTGTCTGCTGGCAACTCAGCGGGCAAGACCTCTGAACCACGAGCAACCGAGTTCCCAGGAAGTGGGACCAAGTCGGGTGATGTCAGCAGAAGGAGTTACAATGCACTGCTTAGTCAGCTGTCTATACAGTGTCTATATTTTTCCCCACCTGCCAGGTGAGGGTTGTTAGATTTTATGTCAGTTGCCTCCTCCTGCCTCGTCCTCCTCCTCCTCCTCTCCTCCTCGTCCTCCTCGTCCTCCTCGTCATCCTTGTCGTCCTTGTCGTCCTCGTCGTCCTCGTCGTCGTCGTCGTCCTCGTCGTCCTCGTCCAACTGCGACCCGCGATCCACAGTGTTCTCTGCCGGACCTCAACCACGACCATCCACGCCCAGTGTTCCCTGCCGGACCTCAACCACGACCATCCACGCCCAGTGTTCCCTGCCGGACCTCAACCACGACCATCCACGCCCAGTGTTCCCTGCCGGACCTCAACCGCGAGTCCCGCCCAGTGTTCCCTGCCGGACCTCAACCACGACCATCCACGCCCAGTGTTCCCTGCCGGACCTCATGTAGGAAGATATGGACGCCAATGTCACCTGCCAATTGCCAGATAAATCCAGAAGAATATGATGATGATGCCAGAAGATATGCCAGATAGAATGCCCAGATAGAATGCCAGATCAGAAGATATGCCAGAAGATATGCCAGATAGAATGCCAGAAGAAGATATGCCAGATATAGAATGCCAGAAGATATGAATGCCAGAAGATATGCCAGATAGAATGCCAGATAGAATGCCAGAAGATATGCCAGAATGCCAGAAGATATGCCAGATATGTCAGATAGAATGCCAGAAGATATGCCAGATAGAATGCCAGAAGATTTGCCAGATAGATAGAATGCCAGAATCATATGCCAGAAGATATGCCAGATAGAATGCCAAATAGAATGTCAGAAGATATGTCAGATAGAATGCCAGAAGATTTGCCAGTAAGAAAATGTATAAATGTCATGGTGGGGATCACACGAAGTAAAGTATTTTTTCAGTGACATGTCTATAGTTCATCCATGTTCATCCATGTTCATCCTATTTAGTCCGTAGTTTCAGGGCGTTTCATGCTGTTTCCCTCGAGTCTCATCACACTACATGGCTCACCAAGTGCTTACCACTTGTCCAGGTTTCGTTCGTGACCGTGTGTTCCGGCCTCCAGAGCATTGAAGTGCAACCATCCAGGGATGGGTGTGAACTTGCCAGCTACCTTCACCACCTGCCAGCAATCACGAAGGCACTGAAATTATGCAAGATATTTGCAAGATATGCAAAGTAAGTGACTGCATTGGCATAATGGACATGAGTAAGTGGGAATCTGCACTGATCATGAGTTGGAACGCCAAAATCTTTGGTACACCTGCCTCTTGCGCGCAGACTCCACCAAGAAAGGTGCAGAAAGGCTGAAGTGGTGTGTGGAAGTGGCGTAGGAACTGCCAGAGTCAAACATGAAATGCTGTCACTCCTCAGCTCCGCTATTCTGTACTTCGCTTTGACCCTAAAACCCTGAAATCGCAAGCAGTTTTTAGCACTTTTGTTCGAAGGCATCTTGGTCTTTTTAGATCTTTTTAGCACTTCCTAGTTGTGCCTTGGCAGCAAAGCCATCGTCGATGTCCGCCTGCAAGGCTCTGTCCCCTACAGTGACTTTCTCGTATCAGCCCAATCAGGTGACCTGTCCCCAATCTTCCCGTACATCCCGTACTTTGCTCCGTTGAAGTCCAAATGCATCTCAAGCGGATGTTTCATTTTTTTTCAAGTTGACGGACCTCAACATCTGTTGCTTTGGAAGACATAAGCTCTTTCGCTTTAGCCACCACTGCTGCGACCTGAGGATCAGGGGAAAGCGAGAGGGAAACTGCTCGCAGCAAGTGTTTGTGGGTCAACTTTATTACATGAAGCAATGTGGTACGTAAACCCAACATTAAAAAAAGAAAAAAAACATATATAAACTATAAACCATCCCCAATAGAGGTTTATTATGATTTATGAAGTTTCACTATTGGGTTTACCACATTGCCACTGTTTGTCTATAATGTCGGAGTCTCATCACTGTCATGCAGCTGGTTCCATCTTCCACCGAGGCTTCAAACGTCAGCTTCACCTACCGCAGCACCACGTTCTGCCTTAGTAATGGAACAAAATATGAACAAATGTTTGAAACAAATGTTTGAAACTTTTTGAAACTCAAAATGTTCACTGCAATGCAAGGTCTTGCAGTCTTGCTGGACTCACCCGAACACTTTGATCAGACCCCGCAGGCACAGTCGCCTCTTTTTGTGGACACTCAGCACGATCACTCGAGCTAAATTGTGGATGCGAAATGTGCAAGGTCTTTGAGTCTACACAATGATGAAGGATGTGTGTGTGTGTGTGTTTGTGTTGTTCAATCAACTGCTGAATGAAGGTTCTTCATGGTTCTTCCACATGTTGGGCGCTCTTCCGATGCTCTCTTTGCGCTGCGACTAAGCCAGTGAAAGTCGCCCCGAGTTTTTCTGTCCCAGTGAGGTGCATTTTGTCACGGAAGATGTCCAATGCCAAACCTGCCCAGGCACGTTTTGCCAAATTTTGCACTTGGTTTTTGCACATGTTGGCAAAATTTGGCAAACGACACCTGAAGAAAAATGGCACGACCACATGACATCTGCAAACTCTGTAGCAAGATTCCGGTCCCGGTGGCCTTTTCGTGCATTTTCAAATGTATCAAAAGTCATGTTTGCTCATTAATCCAACGGAGTTTATTTGAAATCCCAATGCATTGTCATTCACCATGTTAACGTTTGTTCAAACATGTTCAAACCATATTTTCCGATGAGGTTGTCGTGCTCTCCACTTTGAAATAGCTACGTCTTCACGATTCTTCACGCGTCTTTGTTTTGGGTCCTGGGCCCCCGTCATACGTAAACGCGCTACGCATATGCAGTTCTGCTTGGCACAGCCATGCAATGTCACCTTTTCCCACGTTTGTTTGCCACACGAAATGGATCGAAATGGCACGCCAAAGGTGGGGGACCAAAAAAAAAGTTCATTGGCCGAGTTGCACATACTTGAGGGTAAACTAGAGATGGGTTTTCCTCATGATCTAATTCTAAATTGGATGTTGACTTGACAAGCACTTGATATGATGCTGTAGATGCATGAATCCCAAAACACGGCCAGCGTGGGCAAAAAATGCTGCAATGCGGTGTGCCATTGTAGAGGCCATCCTGAGTCCTCTGGCCCGTGTTTACGCGCAAGTTGGGCGATTTGGCATCTTTGGGTTTTGGCATTTGTTTCATTTTGTTTCTCTTGAATCTTTTTGTATTGGCATCCCTCCCTCTTGGCATTCCTGTCTCTTGACATTTCTTTCTCTTGACATCTATTTCTCTTGGCCCCTCATTCTGTTGACACATCCCTGTCACATGCCATCTCTTTCTCCTGACATCTCATCCCTCTCTCTTTGCCCCTCTCTCTTTGCCCCTCTCTCTTTGCCCCTCTCTCTTTGCCCCCCTCTCTTTGCCCCTCTCTCTTTGCCCCTCCATCTTTGCTCCTCTCTCTTTGCCCCTCTCTCTTTGCCCCTCTCTCTTTGCCCCTCTCTCTTTCCCCCTCGCTCTTTGCCCCTCTCTCTTTGCCCCTCCTCTCCTCTTTGCCCCTCTCTCTTTGCCTCTCTCTCTCTTTGCCCCTCTCTCTCTCTCTTTGCTCTCTCTCTCTCTTTGCCCCTCTCTCCCTGTCTCTTTGCCTCTCTCTCTCTCTCTCTCTCTCTCTCTCTCCCTCGCCGTCTCATTCTCGTCTCATTCTTTTGACACATCCCTGTCTCTTTGCACCTCATTCTCTTGGCATCCCTTTCTCTCGACATCTCTTTCCATTGACAAGCTCTTTGTCTCAAAATCACCTTCTCTTGACATCTCCTTCTGTTGAAATCTCTCTCTCGCGACATCTCCTCCCTTGGCATCCCTTTCTGTTGACATCGCCCCCTCTTAAAAGCTCTTCGCAGCATTTCGACTGCACAAGCAACGACCGGATTCGCAAACGCAACAGCTGCACCACCGTACAAACACGCGTCAAAAGCCATGTTCTTTTACCCAGCAATTCAACCGCGAGTGACGCTCGAATGTGAACAAACCAAGAACTCTGCGCACAAAATGACAACGCAAAGCCTTCGAAACAATCACCTCATTGCGCGGCCAATCCAATCCAACCAAGATCTGACCATGATCCGAGATCGATCCGAGATCGCTTCGAAACCGTAGCACCGCACACCTTCATCGTTCGTCTTCTGAGCGATTTTGTAGTGGAAAAACACACAGTTTGCGCTCCACTATCTTTCTCAAAACGCAGATCTTGCGAGACTTCCTCCGAAAATACAAAGTGAAGATGCGCCATGCTTTCAGGCGAATCTCCTTTCAAAAATGCAAGCTGATGAGGTGAAAACTAAGCTTTCGCGCGGAGATCTCCTTCCAAAATGAAGGTGAGAGATCTAAATCTCGGATAATGGTTTGCTGTGGTGACTTGTCAGAAAATGGGTTGTGATGTTGAGTGTTCAATGTATC